CCTCAAAATCAACAAGGAAAGCCCTCTGCATCACACTTATTCTCTACTTCACATGTAGAGTACCCCTTGGCCTTTATTCTATATCCTCCCAACCACAACAATTAGCCAAGTTTGTTTAAATTTTAGTTTTTGTTGTTTTCGAACTTGTATTTTCAGACTTCTGAAGAACGGCAAAACTTTGAATAGACCTTCCCCTCCAGCCAGAAATGTCTCAGTTAAAAGCACTACCCACTCGCTTTACATGTGTACCAGTATGTATACTTAAGTTTAATTATGGGTTTTGGCCTTACCCGACATATTCATTTATTTGTGACATTTTCTGCAAACTCTCGGACAAACATTGAATATACAGTGTTTATATATATATACATGTCGGGTAAGGACAAAACCTGTAATCAAAACAATTTCCATGACATTTCCCTGACACAAAGTACATCTTGACTAGACATAAACTTACTGATTGCGGTATATGTGTTGCTGTAGGAAGCATTTTCAGGATGGGAGTAACTTGAGGATGTTGTAAGAGCTGCTGTAATTCATCCTCATTTTGTCTTGAGTCGGGAGGCATCACTTCTGTTGTATCTTCATTAGAATCACTGTTTATATTAACTACCTTTGGTGAACAACTTTTACAAGTACCTTGGTGAAGATAAACAACAGACACATGAAAAAGGGACATTGGAAAACTACACGTAAATGTGCAGGCTTTGAGATTCACATTAATAAAAAATATTAACAAGGTTTAGTCCTGCATCAAAACGTTGCTTGACAAGTATTTTGACTGTCATAACATGCAGTGACTCCTGCTTCTCAACTGAAAATAAGGCAAGTACATTTGGGATAAAAATACCTGATGATATGCCGTAATGTAGCTCAAACATGGTTAGCATGCATGAGCATTAAACATATAGCATCATGTTGATACGCTTGTTTGGGACATGGGGAATGATGGAAAATTTTGGATAAATGCTTTCTGACAAAGCAAATGGGAAAATGAGATTTCTCTGAAGGCCAGTTATATCACCTTCAGCCACTGAGCCTGAAGAAAAAAGTTGTCTGACCTTTTACTCAAGTCTCTGAGAAGTCAAACTTGGATATATTTCAGATACAAGCAATCCTCAGGGGAATGTGGGGGAGGGGTACCGTTCCCTGAACTCAAAAAAGGGTTCCTTTGTAAAATTGCTTGTTGAATTGGTTGAGTTAATTGTTCAATTTAAACAGTTATAAAATCCTAAAAAGTTCATCAGTTTATTTTGAACAGAGGTGTATTGTAACATATAACATATGGACTGGCAAGGTTTGGTCACTTATGCACATCTGTCCCCCTCCTCTACTTGGGAGTGACCCTCTCACGGTAACTTATTATACATGTACCTTTGAGCACAGACATGCACTAGTGACCTCACTGCCATGGCAAGTGCATAATATTCAATTCATTCTGTCTAATAAAATGGACAAAGGAGGTTGCAAATTATGAGACGGCTAAAAATTCTCACCTTGAGTAAATATCAGACCTTCACATATCTCAATGATTGGAAAGCACTGCAGAGGAAATGTAAACAATACTCCAATGCAGACAACTAGACTGACTAATAGCTCAAGAATACTGCCTGGTGCCAGATTCCATATCAGAACTTGGGCTGTAGATGTACCAAGACAGAGGTAACCAAGAAACCCCATGCTTCCCAACACAAATGTAAAGACAGCGATGGTCAGGTACAGCAGGGGAGCAAAGAGAGTATGGTTACCTTCCATACTAGACTCAATTGGGATGATCTGTAATCAAAGAAAAAATGAGGGTAAAAAGTATAAGCTACGACTCTCAACAATACTAAAGATATGTGATACAAAACTGCTGCAAACTG